TCCAAGCTTTTATATAATCAATCAAATCTCACATGTGTGTGTACCCATCTTCACAATTCCCAATTCTTCTCAAACATATAGAGATGGGTGTTACAGGAGGACTAGTGAGAAGCATTTTCTTCAGAAACAAGTCATTTGAGGCTAATGACTACAACAATGTATGTTCATGATCAAAACCCATTACTCTGTTATCTTTTGTTTTGTTCTCTAATATATTTACTTGTATTCAGGGAAGAAGCAATCTAGGAGAGAAGAAAAGATGGAGCTCGGTTAGATCATTCCTTTGCGGAGATGAATTCAACTCTGTACTCGCTGTGGATGATTCAGGATCGATAAAATATTCTGATACTCTTCTTACAATGTCTCAGCAACTGAGTTCTGATTCGGTTTTACCTTCTGACTCGGTCTGCGCGATTGAAGATTCGGCTTCTGTGAAACAACATTTTGAGGAGGAGGAGGGCTCTGTTTCTGTTAAGAGCTCAGAGGCAACAGTGACTCAGCCTTTACTGGATAGTTATATAAAAGAAGATGTTGATAACCAAAGCGAAACAACCGAGACGCATATACCAAAGAAGCATCAGACTACTCCAATCTCAAAGTTGTTCCTCGAAGAAGACGCTGCAGTCATAATTCAGTCAGCATTCAGGAGTTACCTGGTTAGTTTCTGCTGCATTCTTGTCTTCTTCTCTTTGTGTCCACTCCATTGATCTTGACAATATGTTCAGGCAATACGTCGAAGCAAAGAAGTTGAAAAGGCGTTTGTTGTTAAGGACGAGAGCTTCTCCGGAGAGGAATCTCCAGGCAAAGTATCCATGGGGACATCACTAGAAGTTCAGTCAGGTAATTCCGTGAAAGCACCGTTTTCTAGGAGAAAACGGGTATCTGCAAATCGACGATCACTACAAAAGAACAGTACTCAAGTTCTGAGGATAAAGGTAAGCAAAAATCTGATGCAGTGAAATGGAATATAAAGATATAGAGAAGATTAACATAACAATGCTCACATATAACAGGAAGACTGGGATGATAGCACAGTGAGCAGTACCATATCAAAACTGAGGATTCAAAACCGAATGGAAGCAATGACGAAGCGGGAGAGAGCACTTGCTTATGCATTTTCACAGCAGGTAAACAAAACAAAAATATGCAACAACCGATCTCTAATTGAATCCGAAAACAAGAATTTATTTCTGAAGTGTGAAACATTTGTTTGCAGCTAAGAATTTGCTCAAAGAAGAAGCAAATAGATCGCACCAGTGAAGATGAATCTAACATCGGTTGGAGTTGGCTAGAACGCTGGATGGCAACTCGTGTACCAGACAGCATTTCGATTGAACCGAGAACAAACATTCAGACAGATGTGGCAAACAAAAATCAAAGACTGGTAATAAAGAATAGATCTTATGGTATAGCTGGCGAGTTGGAGAGCTGTGCTTCCAACGATCTACCTTTCCAATTTGGAAGCATATCAGAGACAGTAGAAGAGGATAATGAAGATTCGAAAACCGAAAAGAGCGGTAATAAAGCGAGCATATCAAAGCGCAAATCTGTTCCAAGCAACAAAAACCAGAGAAGGCATAACAGGGTAAAGAAAAAAACCACACAATGCCATCTCAAACATACTCACCATACATTAAGTGTTTTCGGTTTTCTTTTGCAGCTTCAGGCAACGAAAAGAGATCTGCAACAACAGACAAAGAAAGCTAAGAAGGCCAAGATCGCACCCTCAAGCTGCAAAATGGGAAACAAACGCGAGGAAACATCACAGAAGTTATATAGCAGCAGCGGAGATTATCTTTACCTGTAAATCTTTGCGTTAAGATAACTCTGTGTTTCGCAATAGTTTGGTCTTTCGAATCTGATATAAACTTTCTGTAAATTATATGGAAGAACCAAATGATGGTAGTAGAAACAAAGAAACCCAAGAAATACATAACAATCGCATTATTTTAAGAGTAAATGTTGTCACCAAAATCTTTCTGTATACGCAGAAGATGGGTGTCTCAAATTTGATATTACAAGCAAGAAAAAAACGCCAAACCAAACAAACTTAGATCCTATCAATATCCTCGTCCTCAAACTCAACGTAATCATCCCCTCCATCAGAACCATCTTCATCAAGATCACCAACGATACCTTCGTTTAGTCGGATATTCTCTGGAAGCTCACCATACGCCTTGAGAAGCCTGGCTTCATCAGACATGTACTTGAGTATGACATCAGCTTTGTCATCTTGGTAGTCCCTTAGACCAACAAGTACAATGTCACCGGCTGCAATCCAAACTTTCTTGTGCATCTTACCACGGATATGGCAAAGACGTTTAGTACCGTCAATGCACATGGATTCACATCGACCATTGCCAAGCATACGAAGAACTTGCGCATACTCTTGACCATCTTCCTTAAAGATTAGCTCACGCTTCTCATCATCGGCTTCGTTCTTTCCTCTCTTCCTGTTCTTTCCTCCCTTTCCCTTGTTCTTCGGCATCGTCTCTGCATCAATTCAAATATTAAACATCAAATTTGTTCAGTTTTTAATAATCGAAACTACGCCTTCTTCGCATAACAGAGATTAACCATATATATGGATACAGAGTAAGAAACCATCTTCAAATCCTTATGAGCCAAAGAAACTGCGTAAAGAATATCAATTTCTAAATATATTCGTCTCAATTCACAATCGATCGAGGAGAATCATCAAATCAGAAACAAAAAAATTCTCCGACCAAACAAATCAAAGAACACAAACCTAAACATAATCCTTAATTTCAACGACTAAAAAACCCTAATTTTCTAGAGTTGAATAGCAAAATCAAAACAAAACCGGAGCTTACCAGTTAAGGCTGGATCGAGTCGAAACGAATCAAGAAAATCTTCGAAGAAGAGAATCAATAAATTTTACAAA